ACCTCAGCACCGAGGCGAGCTGCTCCTGCACCCTCAGCCTGGCTTGCCTCCAGCTGCTGCCGTGATCCCTCTCGCAGCACCCTTGTGGTCGCACCTCAGGGAAGGCCCGCGGCTTCTGGACCAGCCTGAAGCGCTCCTCCTCCTGCTGCCTGCGGATCTCGAGAATCACCGCCGAGTGCGGGTACACTGGCGAGGCCTCCACCACCCGCACCCCCAACGCAGCCAGCCCCTTGGATACCAGGAAGAAGTCGATGGTCCTCCCTGATGCTGCGCACGTGGGCGATGCAGGCCTGACCACCTTGCCATCGAACATGTCGGGCACCCCTCCTGCCTGCAGCTCTTCCTCCGTGAGGTTCCAATCACCGCCCACTACGAAGTCCCTTCGGCACTGCCTCAACCTCCTTGCCAGCCTCCTGAGGCTGGACACGCTGCTGTCGTTGAGGCCGACCCCCGCCTCCAGGTAGATGTTGGCGAGCAGGAAGCCGCCGCGCGTCACGCCCGACACCCAACACAGGTGCACTCGCCCAGCCACCAGCACCGCTGCCTGCTGGTCCTGCACCTCCGCCATGCCGTGGCTCCTCCTCACCATGGTGAGGAGTCCTCCTGTGCTGAGGCCCCCTGCCGCTGACGGCACCGCGGGCGTGCCTCTCGCCCTCCATCCTTGACCTCGAAGCTGCGCCTCCGCGTCACTGCTCCTGCCCTCCAGGAGCCTCGTCTCCTGGACCAGAATGGCGTCGCAGTCCTGCACCTCGCTCACCGCCATGCACTTGCCCAGGTTACAGAACGCATTGATGTTGACCGTGCAGATCCTCCAGACCCCGCACCTCATGCTAGGACTCCTCCTCCATCTGCTTGACCTCCGTCCGCATCCTCTTGGCGTCACCCAGCAGCTGCTCGGCTGCTTCCCTCTTGGCTGGGTCCTCCATCCCGCACGCGATGTCCTGCCACACCTGCTGCACCGCCTGCGACACGCCAGGCCCCTCCTCCTTGGGAGCGTCCACCTGCTGCGCAGCTGCAGGCACCGCCGAGGGCACGGGGACCGCCGCAGCCACAGGCGCACGGGGGGGCGCCCCCGCAGCGGCGGCAGCGCCAGGCAGGCCACTGAGCTCCGCCAGCACCTTCCCGAGCTTCGCGATCTCGTCCCTCGACAGGCGGCCGATCGCCTCCTGAATCGACTCCAGGGAGGCCGCTGGTGCTGCTCTCGGCTCGGCGGCAACTGCCGCCGCCTCAGCCTCCTCGGCCGCCATCCTGGCGCGCTGAGCCGCCAGCGCCTCTCGTGCCTTGGCCGCCGCCTCGTCGCGCTCCTTCCGCAGCAGCACCAACTTGTCCGCGAGGCAGGCCGACTCGTTGATGGCAGCCACCGCCTTGGCCTTCGCCTGCTCCAGCTGGCCCTCCATCTTCTTGACCTGCACGACCTTGGCGTCCGCCAGCACCTGGGCCGCCTTGACCGTCTTGTCCTTGGACAGCTCGGCCCCCAGCCCGCCCTCACGTAGCCTCCGCGCCTGCAGCAGCTGCTCGCGGACCTTCGGGGGCAGGAGCGCGGCGGCGAGGGCGAAGTCGGCCTCTGCCATGCACACGAAGCCACAGCGCTGCTCCTCGCTGAGCACCACGGCGCCTCCAGCGTCACGGCCGCCACCTTCTCCACCACGCCACCACGGGGCACGAGTGGGGGGCTTGCCGCCGCCAGCCCCGCGCCCGCCGATCCCGCCGCCAGCGCCGCCAGGAGCACCACCACCGCCGCCGCCTGCATGCCACCCACGCAGCGGAGGAAAGGCGCCCAGCTGCCGCGGCGCTGGCCACCCCGCAGGTTGGCACCCCTTGCGACAGCACGTCCTCTCGGCGAAGTTGTAGTAGTCGCACACCGAGCACTTCCACTTCGCAGGCCACGCCGCACGGCCGCCTCCCCCACGCCCAGCACCCACGCCGCCGCTCCCCGCCATGGCGCGCGTGAGTTTGGAAGGAGGCCGCCCGACTGCCAGAGTGCACACACTCTTGCCTGCGCACGGTAGTGCGATCCAGTGAAGCACGGAGGCTGAAAGCCCCCCGAGCAACCCATCTTGAGCCAAAATGGCTACGGAGAAGGAGGAGGAGGAGGAGGAGGAGGAGGAGGAGGAGGGGCCCAGACATCAGGAGGGGGGGGGCACGCCGCGAACAAAACAGAAAAACGCGGCGTCCTGGCCTGGGCCTCGCGCCGCCCACGCCAAGGCCCGAGCGAGAGGCCGCGGCGGACGCGAGAAGAGCGACGGGGGCCCCAAGACACACAGACGAACGGGCACGAGCCCCACGATTCCCCATCCGTTCCGGTATGCCTGAATGCTCGTTTTCCCCTTCGCTTTCCATAGTTTCCAGTGTTCCCCTGGCGATCGATCCTCCTCCTCCTCCTCCTCCTCCTTCTCCTCCTCCTCCTCCTCACCCTCCTCGTTTTCGCCTCGTTTCGTATTCGTTTCGTATTCGTTTCGTTTCGTTTCGTTCCGTTTCCTTCGAGGTGGTGCCTCAGCCCTGCACGCTGGCGCGCGTGTTCATTGCGTCTGGATGCCAGCGGCGCTCGCGTCCTATGGCTCCAGGAAAACAGTGCGTCCAAGATAACATCGGGCTCCAGATTGTCGTTCATCCTCCTCCTCCTCGTTCTCCACCTCCTCCTCCTCCTCGTCCTCCTCCTCCTCCTCCTCCTCCTCCTCCTCCCCTGGTGCGACGACCGGTCACAAAGGACACACATTCAATGGTTCTGGGTTAAGCACCGCCCCCAACCGCTGAAAAAGCCGCCATCTCAGACTTGGTCACGACCGATCATTTCCCACACTGCTTCGTCGAATCTCAGCGTGACTGCATACCCTCAGACCCAAATGGGTTCTCAGAAACCCCCCAAAAGCCATCTCAGAATTGCTCACGACCGATCATTTCCCACACTGCTTCGTCAAATCTCAGCTTGCCTGCCTACCCTCAGACCCAGGCGGGGGCTCAGACACCAAGAGCCTGATCCTACACATCCGCGGATCAGCCTATTTCGTGTTTTCGTTGGAAGCCCGAAATGCGGAGGCAGGAGACAAGTGGAAGCGGGATGAGGCAGGCTAAGAGTTAGAAGAGTGATAAGAGAAATGAGGGACCTAATAATGGCACGATCGATAAGAAGAAACATAGGAATACTACTGAGAGCGCGAACGGTAGCAAAACACAAAAACATAGGAATGCGAATAATAATGAAAATAATAAGCATATTAATAAGAAGAAGAAACGAACGTGCAAGGATGGCGCCCTGCCTGGACGACAGACAGGAGATATGGGGAACAAGAGGTGAACGAGGAGACGGGTCAATAGGATGGAAATCAATGCAAGGCGGGCGATGAGGAAAAGCTGGGAGAAGGTTGAAGGTGGAGCCAAGAGCAACACGAGGAAGTCGATGACTGCGGGAGTGAATAGAAGTCCACAAGTGAGGAACTGTGGGGAACACGCATCCTCATCATGCGCATTCTACTGCGGCCGTCAAACATGATAGGGACGATGACCCTTCTCGCATAGACTGGGGCTGCGGGCTTACCATTCTCCTCGGAGAAATCGAGAACCAGGGATGGCGGGATGGTGGGAGGAGAGGGACGATGGGAGAAGACGAGCAGGACGACAATGACGACCTCGACAAGGACGAGGGGCAGGAGCGCACGGAAGAGGAGGATGACGGCGACGATGACGAGGACGAGGATGGGGCGGAGAAAAGGATGACGACGAGGACGCCGATTGGTTGGCTCTCGCGCGCAACTGACCTGCGATCTGGAGGGCCGTCGAGCGCGACGGCCGAGGCGAAGCTTGGCACTTCGGCACGCCCTCCCAGACTGCCCTGTCATGGACAGTGCGCGAACAGACTGGGCAGAAAGGTGTGCCGAGCATCGACCCGACTCGGGACGTCTCGTCGCACTGAGGTGATACGGGCCTCCCAACATATGTCCGATTCTGGCGACCCTGAACCCAAAAACGGTTTCACCTCTTCGGGGCACATCTTCTACTTCCGCAGCCTTCCGCCGAACTTCTGCCGGCTTCCGCCGGCCTCGTTATACTTCCGCCGACCTTCCGCCGCCTTCCGCCGAAGAAGGGATGGCAACTCCTTCGATCCACAAAGGTAAGGCCCGTTTGTGGAGCGCCTCAAACAGTGTCCGAGCAACCGGCGTCGGAGGACCGCGCCGCATCGCCGATGCATCGGCGCCGCTGACGCGGGAACCGACGGGCTCCGCGCCGAGCCGCACCGCCGATGCACCGGTGATGCGGCGCGATCCTCCGACCCCTCTGCTCGGACCACGCTCGGGAGGCCTGGAGGTGAAGCGAGGGGAGGGTGGGCGTAGGGAGGAGGGGCGAGCACTCCCAACATCATCAGCGTCTGGCCATCGCTCGGACGTCCATTCCCTGTGCATGCCTCGGCTCCGTGCGCGCTTGTTTTTTGCTGAGTGATCCAGGCTGCTCCTCGACGGCCCTCTCCGAGAGAACATGTCCACGTCCGAGCGATGCCGAGGCGCACAGAGCTATGGCCACACCAGTCGCACGCCGATCCGTCGCGTCTGCCCGCGGGGGGTACCGACGCCGATCCGTCCACACAGTCTTTATGCGGACCGTGGCGCCGGGCCGCAGCGGCGGGCAAGGCCCGCGCCGCCTTTGAGCGTGACGCCCACGAGCAGACAGCTGGCCACGGAAAGAACAGCACGCTCGGCAGAAAGTGCCGCCGCACCTGTGCCAACAAGGAGACAGAGCCAACCGGGGCTCTGTGTAAAAAAGGATGCCTGGTGGCGTCAGCGGATGCAGCGGCTAATCTACGCTACACCTGGGGTACGAGACAGGCGGATGAGGAACAAGCCGAAACGCTGGAAAACACCGCTTCGCTCTTGTCCTCGCCTGCTCTCTAGCACCGGTGCGATCCAGCCAGGCCCTCACCCTTCAGAACTTGTCGCCAAGGAAATTCGAGGGCCGCTCAACTTGCCTGGCGCGAGATGGTCAAAATTCGACACATGTCATTGAGAAGCCTCGATGAATTCGGTCATGTTCTTCGCGCACACGTAGATGGTCTTGAAGTATTTGAAGAACTCCTCCTTGTCAACCCAGAACACACCGTCATCGGCCGCAACAGGTTTCAGGGCTTCCTTAACCTGAGGGTACTGCGTCCAGCCAGGGCCATCGTCGTCCCACATGCCCGACTTGAACTCGCCCTGGCCCCACGGGTTGCGCACCTTGATCAAATCGAACTCCGTGCCCCCCGCGTTGTTGACACAATCTATGATCGTGTAGGCGTGGCCATCCACGATGCCGTCGGTGTCCTGCGTGTCCGAGCCGGCCTTGGTGCCCGCACCCATGATGTAGTTCTCGTCGTCAAACGCGCACATGCGCTCGAACATCTCGTCCGAGTCGATCTTGTGCATCAGGCCGCCGCCGCCGCCCACTTCGGGCCACGGGTTGGGCCACAGGCCGCGGAATCCGTCGTGCGGCGAGTTGGCGAGCTCCTCCCACTCGTTCGTGTTGGGGTTCATGGCCCCGAAGCAGCCGTACATGCCGCTGGGGTCTGGCATGAAGGTGTACTGTTCTCTGCAGCCCGTGAGCATGCGCCAGGCGTGCGTGCACTGGCCGCCATTGATTTTGTCCCATCCTCCACAGTGGATGGCGCACGCCTTCTCGATGTAAGGTGCCCACAGGTCCCCGGACGCGCTTGGGCCGCAACCCAGCAGGCCGCTGCCGTTCGGGTTCCCAGGGAGCCGCTCGTCGACCTCGATGTCGACCGGCTTCCAGGTCTTCAGGTCGTACAACGTCACCACGTACCTGTTCTCGCCCTCGCCCGGCATGGACTCGATTCCAGGAGTTTTAGCAAACACCTTCTTGACTGCGCCGGAGAACTCCGCCAAGGCGGACATGGCCGGAGGAAAACCAAAAAACGGCTTGAGAACAAACTTTCGGAGCTCCTCGCGGATTTGTTGGATCGGCGCAGGACCCCCCTCCCTGGCGCGCTTTCGCGTGCCAGGGGCGGCGGCGGAGGCGCCGCCAGCGGGGCTCCAGCGCCGGTCCGAGAAATCCGCGCGGAGCTAGGACAGCGGGTGGTCATGTCGTTGTTTCTTCCTCGAATGGCGGAGAGCAGCCAGCAGTCGCCGACGCTGCCCTGCAGCACGTCGTTCGGGTCCACGTCCTTGAAGAGGGCACGGGGGGACACAACTGAATCGACGCGCGCTCCAGGAATGTTCATGTACTGTCCGCATTTCCCAGACTGACCTCTCCCTTTCCATTGCCCATACGTTCCTGGATTTTGAAGTCCAAAAACAGGCTTTAGAATTAAAAGCGGCTGATGGATTCAGAAAGCTGTTCGAATGTTAGGAACAAAAACTGGTTTTTGAATTCTACAGGTTGGTGGTTGAATTCACCACGAACTGGTTACTGAACTCAAAAACTGGTTTTGGAAATCAAAGAACCAGAACTTTGCCCCCATCAACATGCATTGGCTTTTGGGTCGAATTGTTCCTCCGGGGTCCTTGATGACGCTGAGGCCCGGCACGTCTGCGCAGCCCTGCCCTCGGCCGGGCTGCTTGCCCTCCGTGCACGGGGCGCCCGCGTAGGACATGCCGTCCGTAAACTGGTCGTGCTGCACCTGGGCGGCCATCGGAAGCGGGTCTCCTACGATCCTACGATTACTACGATTACGATTACCATGGGACGCACAGAAACATACGATTACTATATATATATGTCCTCCTTGGAGGCGCGCGTCCGACCCGAACACACAGTATACCCATCCTGCAGTACATCGTTTCCCGAGCGGCGTGGCCAGAGAGCGCCCGTCACGACGCATATACCATAAGATTTCTCGGTGCGCGCGTCGCCCCTGAGGCGGCGACGCGCATCTGATATATGCATGTTGGGGCGATGCAGCTCTTACGCGAGGTGACATAGCGACCTTACGCCGCGGCCTGCGCGGGGCCCCAGCGCGGCACGCCACCTTGGAAACGAGGGCGCTCACGCTCGGCTTTTTGCTCGGGCAGCTCACGAGCGGAGGTCGGCGCAGTCGGGGCTCCGTGTTCTTCCGTCGCTCGCCTGGCAGTCCGGCAGGGCATGGCTGGAGGAAGAAAAAACGGCACAGGCATAGCCTTGCGGCGCTCCGCGCGGACTCTCTGGACGGGCGCGGGCCGCCCCCTGGCGGCGCCTCCGGCGCCCCCCCCCGGCGCGCTCCGCGCGCCCGGGAGTGTCCAGCGCCGATTCCAGAAGTCCGTGCGGAGCTCCAGCAAGGGTATGTCCATGCAGTTGTTTCCTCTTCGAATGGTACTTGCTCTCGACGTACGTGAACGGCGCCCCTTTCGACTCCGTAACGACAATCCTCTGCTTCCTGCGCTCACACAGCGAGTACTGCTGCTGATCAGCGGGCCACGATGTCATGTCCGTCTGGTACCACAGCGAGAGGTACTTGTGCGGTTCCTGCTTCAGAAGGTCCAGACCCTCCTTTGAGCAGGGACCGACCGTCTCGGCATTCCAATACGCCTACCCAGGCATGTTCTTGGAGCCCAAACATGTTAAAACAACAAGCAACGTTCTTAAAACCCGATATGTTAAAACAAGACTGCCCCAACCAGAAATGCTCTAAGCACATTTCGTTTAGACCACGAACACATGTTAGAACATTATCTGGTGGGCCTGTATAGGCAAGCCGGAACGCTTCGCCACTGCTCGATTCCTGGATCGGGCCCGTCTTCTCGTGGACGACGGGTGTCCCGCCGATGATGCCGTAGGAGCCGTCGTACTCAGTGCTGGTCAACACCCACTTTCCTGCTGGCAACTGCTCGGGCGGAGGAGGAGGAGGAGGAGGAGGAGGAGGATAAAGAGGAGGATAAAGTGGTGGAGGAGGAGGAGGAGGAGGAGGAGGAGGAGGAGGAGGAGGTCCTGCGTCGTGGTCGCCGAAGTCGACCACGCGCCTAGCCTGAGGCCGCCGGCTGGCCTTCTGCTCCGGTGCCCTGCGCCTGCCCCGCATGCTGCACTTCACCACCTCCTGCGCCACGGGCGCCACGGCGGGCGCCGAAGGCTCCGCCTCGGCGGGCTTTGCATCCTCAGCCGCCGGCTTGGAGGCCCCCATCGCTTCAACCACTGCCATCCTGAAGTCGGCGACCTCGTCGCGCTTCGCGAGCACCGCGGCATACTCGGGGCCCGTGAACCAGCCCATGGCCTTCTCGAAATCAGCGAACTGCAGCACGAAGGCCATCTGGCCTGTGGTGCCGAAGCCCTTGGACTCCTTCATGCCCATCTTTGCGGCCATCTCGGGCACCAGCGCATGCTTGATGGCAAACTTGCCTCCGTAGGGCTCTAACGTGGGCTCGGCCATGGGGCTGTAGACAGTCTTGAACTCCTCAGGGTTCTTCATGTCGAAAAAGCCAACCACGAGGCCGGCACCAGCGGGGATCGGGGCGCCCTCGACGACGGCCATCTTGAAGTCGGCGACCTCGTCACGCTTCGCGAGCACCGCGGCATACTCGGGGCCCGTGAACCAGCCCATGGCCTTCTCGAAGGTGTCGAACTCCAGCATGAAGGCCATCATGCCCGTGGTGCCGAAGCCCTTGGACTCCTTCATGCCCATCTTCGCGGCCAGCTCGGGTACCAGCGCGTGCTTCATGATGAATTTTCCTCCATAGGGCTCCAGCGTCGGTTCGGCCATGGGGCTGTAGACAGTCTTGAACTCATCGGCGTTCTTCAGATCGAAGAAGCCGTAGACATATCCTTTCTTGTCCTCACTCTTCTCTGGAGGGAACTAAAATTGGGGCCATGACCAAGACTGGACGCGGAAAGTCGGCGTCGATCTTGGTCATCGTTCATCTTGGTCAGCGGACCAGCGACGACCAGCATTAGGTGGCGACATCCGGACCCTACCCCCACCAACCATCGATTCCAATGAATCGATGGGAGGCAGGGTTAGAGTTTGGATTTCGCTACGTGTTCGGCGAATTCCGAACCCTAACCCCGCCGCCCATCGAGTTGCCTGAATCGTGGATCGGTGAGGGCGGGTTTCGGAACTCGCCGCCACAGAATGGACCATGACCAAAATCGGTAACGAAATGTCCCGCGACATCTTGGCCATGGCCCCCATGTTCCTTCCCTCGATGCTCCGCCGGCTTCGGCTCCGCGGCCGCGGGCGCCGGCTTCGGCTCCGCGGCCGCGGGCGCAGGAGTGACCACCTCACCGGCCTTTGCCGCGGGGGGCGGCTTGTCGACGGGCTTTGACGCCGCACCGCACCCCATGGTGCAGGCTGACTTGCCTGATGGGGCAGGCGGCTGCGCAGGTCCGGGTAACTGGATGG